TCCTCCAGCCCCCCTTTCAGGCCGATCCCCAGGACACAGTCCAGTTCCCGCTGGGACTGTCTCTTCACCCAGTGCATCACCAAGGTCTTGTTTTCAGCTGCCTTCAGCTGAGGGAGGTTTTGCCCAAGCAGATTCTTCACATCCATGACACTGAGGTTCTGCCATGAACAATATCACCCTGGTTCATCCTCACCTTTCCTGCTCTGCAGCACGGAAAAGAGCAGCAGCGCTCCGGGGGGATATACCTGCAGCTCACTGGGATTCAGGGCAAGAAAGGTGTTGATGTCCATGTCTATGGCAACGCCGGCTGCAGCCAAGTGTTTCAGGTCCTCTGCTGGAGCTCCACCTTAAGGAAAGCACATGGGGCATCTAGAAACATGCAAACACCTCCAATGCTTTTGGAGAGGCCAGATCCCTCTGGCCGAGGAAGAGACACCCAGCCTCAGGAAGGAGGGTGAAGGCTCAAATACCTACCCAGGTATGGCCGAATCCTGCAGTAATAGGCCTTGGGGGTGCTGACCAGGTCAGCAAAAGCCTCCCGGGCTTTTCTGTAGAGCTGGTCCTTCTTGGTTTGAGAGCAGGGAGAGATGTTCAGTTGTCCAGAGGTCCTGGGAAGGGATGGGCACAGGTTAGAGCATGGGGCATGACCCCAAATCCCTTTAGTTGGCTGGAGAAGACAGTGGTGTGTCCCTCCTTGCAGTGCTGGTGGCTCGAGCAGGAGCTGAAGCAGGATGTGGCCATCCCTCTGTGCTGCCTGCATGGAGGTGGGGGTCTGCCACCCCTCTGCCTGCTTCCACTGTGGTCCCAGGGCCCTCGCAGGGCTGAAAAGCATCCCTACCACTGGCTTACCTGATTGCTTCTGGAGGTATCTGCTGGATCTGCTTCTCCTGCAGATCACACACGAGTCGTCCACCGATTTGCTGGAGCAAAGGGCCGGTCAAGATGCCTCCCAGAGACAGGAACCTGTTGAGCAGCTGCCGGATCTGGGAAACACAGTTCATGTGGTTGCACGCAGGAGGGAAGATGCTCCTGATGGAATTGCATGTGCTGCAAGTCCACTGAGTGCTTGGGCTTGGGCACTGAGTGGTCCCGGTCTGGGTTCACCAGCACCCATCCCTGCTGCTGCCATGGGTTTACCTGGCGGATGTCCCACATCCCATCCGAGGGGTTGAGCAGGATTGAGAGCGTGTCACTGGACGTCACCATCCACCGGCTGATCTCCTCTGCTGAGTACCGCCGGGACAGTGGTCCCAACAGCTTCAGCTGCTCATCCGGGATCCCCGATGGGTAGATCTGTGGGACCAGGCCAGTGGGGGGCAGAGAAGAGGGTCAGGGAAGGGAAAAGGAGGAGGAAATGGATGCAAAGGACCCGCTCGGGCGCCTTCACCCCTGCGCTGGCGATGCTGGTTCCCGCAGCAGGGCTTGCCCACACTAGCATGGGGACTCCTGCCCTGTATCATCCATCACCTGATCCAGCTTCTTCCTCACGACCTCCAGGTAGTCTGTGGGGAACGGCTGCTGCAGCAGAAGAGTCAGGTTTTCTTTCACAAGCTCATTGCTGAGGCACAGGTCAAACTGTTCCCTGGTGTCGTAGTCAATGATTAAGAACGGGTCATCGATGTTGCTGGCTGTGATGGGTGCAGACAGGCAGCCTGTGGGCAGGGAGGGTGCATCAGGCTGATGTTTCCTCCCTTCCTGCCTAGCCCTGGTGCTGCAGAGCCCTTGGAAGAGCTCCAGTGAATGGACAGGGAATCTCCTGCAACTCATCCTCCCATCCCCTAAGTCCCCAGCCCATGTATTCACTTTCATTCTTGAATACATTCCTGAAGGAGCTGGGGGATGTTCCTGCAGACCACGTGTGCTTTGTTCTATGAAAGGCAACTAAAGATGCTCTGCTAAGATGAACCTTTTCCTACATCATGCACAGGAGCATCCTCCATCCTTGCAGCATCCTGATGCTACTCCTGCTTGGGAGTTTAGTCCCTGATCCAGTTCCTTCCTGGCTGCTGCTGCCTTATTCCTGCTCCCAGGTAAGAGCAAACCCCGCAGTGTGCTGGCCCATCTCCCCAGCTGCTTTATGGGAATCCTACAGCTTTCTGCCTGGTCCTAGTCCCCTCCCTGGGGACACTTTTCCCTCCCAAGAGTAAAGGGAAGCGCTCACGGTCAGCGCTCCGCTTCTGCCTGGGATGTGATGAATCCGATGCCGCTGTGAAGGCTCTGAGGAGATTCAGGGACTTCTCCCGCTGGGAACGTCCCTGTTTGCTGTACGCAGCCACGATGCTACCGCTGAAAGCCTCCCGTGCTGCCTGCGGGGGGGCAGAGGGTGCTGGTCCCACAGCCCCAGCGCTGGGCTGTCTGATGGGCAACTCACCCTGAGGACTCAAGGAGGGGTCTTACCTTGGCCACTGAGCTCAGCGTGGTCTGGTTCAGAGCCAGCACGAGCGGGCCCAGGTTTTGCAGAGTCTGTAGATCCCAGCTGGAAGGATCCCTGTGGCCGTCGGGAGGAGGAGCAGCTCAGCATCCTGATGGATGCACCACCCCTGTGCTCATCACCCACCCGTGTAAGAGCACACGAAGGCTCCTCACCCGTACGCTGTGTTCCCACTGAGGAGCACAGCATTGAGAGCATCCTGCTGGGCCCCCGTCAGTGCTGAGCAGAGCTTCAGGTTCTCCAGGATACTGGGATCGGAGGCTGTGATGGTGTCTGGCTCCATGTCACACACCAGGGCCCCGAGGCTGCTGAGCTGCTCCGCGCGCAGGCGGCTGCTCCTCACCCCCTGGCAGAGACAAAGAGCCCCTTGTTCCAATGCGAGGTGAGGGGTGCAGGACCCTGACAGCCCCTGGCTCATCCCAACTCACCAGACAGGCCAGTGCCCCACGGAGCAGCCCCGTGCGCTGCGCTGAGCCCCTGGGCAGCAGCTCCAGGTTCCCATGGGAATCCCGGGCATAAAACTCTTCACAGGTCCCACCACGCACCTTGGACAAGCTGCGGGGAGCGAGAGTCAGTGCTGGGGGGATGAATGGGGCAAAAGGCTCCTTGTGACCAGGCAGGAGGTCTTTGGATAGAACCTTGGGCAGGGGTTTGGAAAGGGATGATCTGAAGGTCCTTTCCAGCCCAAACCATTCTATGATTCTAATGTTGCTTTTTGTAGGCATGGGGAAATCAGTTTTAAACTGCTGCTCCTTTCGGAGCAATGAGGTGCCAAGTGGCACAGGGCCAGGGGGTCCCTCTTATGCCGAGGAGAATGTCTTGAGGGCTTTTCCCAACCCCATGTTATGGGCTGTGTAGCCCCAGCCTCAGTGAGGAGTGGGGTGAGGAGAGGACCAAGGGGTCTGCAGGGCTGGAAATGCCCAATGTGGGTCTGATGCAGGAGATTCCCCTGATACTCTGCTCCCACCCAGAGCTCCCACATGCCCCAGGGTCTGAAACCAGGACACGGTGTCTGAAACCAGGACATGGGGCCATGTTGGCGAGCGCCAGATGATGTGATCTGGCACCAGCCCTGTGCCACCCTCAACACTCACTCGAAGAGGAGCAGCAGGTCTGACGGGTACCTGTCAAAATCAGCCGTCAGGTTCTTGGCAGCGAGCAGCCTGGCCAGGCAGGAGAGCTGGCAAAGAGAGGTTTGGTTTGTCAATGCCAGCGTGTTAGGACCCCCTTCACCCCAGCTTCCCATGGGGTTCACAGCCCCCCACTTCTGCCCCTGCCCACCTGGGCACTGCTCAGCTCCGCTGTTCTGTTCTGCAGCCCCTGGGCGAAGGCGAGGATGTCGGCAGCAGGAAGATCACTGTCTGGGATGCACGGGAATCCTTGCAGGAGCGAGGCTGAGAGGCTGCGGTGGGGAGACACGGTTGCATTTCACCACCCCCTTTAGCTCCCAGCGCCCCATAGAGGATGAACCCGCTTGTTCCCATGGAAAATCCCTCTTCGCCCTGACCACTGCATGATGTAAGTA